CTAAAAGCGTCGCTATATGTAAAATATTTACGGCATTTTCTCAAAAAACGTCGCTAAAACCACCGCTACATGTTTTGCTTTAATGGTCTTGGTAAATTCTCGCCCTATAAAATCATGAAACTAAAGAAAAAACAATCATAATTAAGATGGTCTGGTCGCCAAACTGTGTTTTATACATGGATGAGTTCCACTAAAAATTTATTTCTTATCTGATTCTAATTTTTGAATAAAAATCAATTTTAACACCAAAAAGAGGAAAACAAGTTTCTTTAACTATTTGTAGAAATCAAAGAATTTTTTTCTATTAATCTAAGTTGATTATAATGTAGTTTATGTTTAAATATTTTCAATCATTTGACAATGAACGCCCTACTGCAACCGCTGGTGTTTGAATCCGTGACTGCTAAGAAGAACAACAATTCTTTTAACCACTGATGTAAGTTGGTTTGTGCTAGAAATCAAAGAATCTTAATATAATTATATTAATATAATTAATATGATGTCTTGCAAAAATTCATCTTGGAACAAAGTCGCATGCTAGAACGAAACTTAGTAAAGTTTTGCAAACAGAATCTTGACTAGAAATAAAATAATCAGCTTCCTAGTAAGTAACCTTAATTGGGAAGTTGAATTTAAAATTAATATGGTGGCAAGTCTCAGTCTTAATCTTAAATTTCATATATTTTTATTTGCAATGTTTACGATAACACGGTCCAAAGCTATTTTTTATTTTAATTTTCGGCCAAAAGATGTCAGAAAATTTGAAAATTTTAATTTTAATTAAATTTATGTTTCAGTGGAAGATGCTTACAAGAAAAGAAGAAAATTCTTCGAAAGTGGTATGGTGAGGCCGTGACAAAATGCACGAAACGCACGATAGTGCTTTAATTCTTTTTGGGCAAAGTTTCCATACAGTCATTAAACTATATAATCATTTTTACTTTTAAATATTTTTAAAAATATTTCGAATTAAATAATTTTTAATTATTAAATTATTATCATTCGACTCACTAAATGTTAACATTTGATAGAAATAACGAGGTAATAATTAAATAATTTTTTATAATTATATTTTTGATTCTATTATTTATACATTCTATTAATTTAGTTCTAATATTAATTTATATCAAAAAATTTAATCAACCAATCAAATAGTCACCACGTGTCAATGTCTTATTAATTTTATTAAATTTTTTTTTAATTAATTTCATAAATTTTCCATTAATCGAGTTAATAAATTATTAACATGTTATGTGATTAGATATGAATTTCTATATATATGTTTTATGTGTTACATGATTTTTTTTATTAATTTAAGATAAGTACAAGATAATATTTGTTCAAAGATATCTCTCAACTATTGGACATTGAACTCTCACATCCTTGACATTCCTGGTGCTCGAACCCGATACCTCAAGGAACAACAACAATTCATTTATCATTGCGGTCTCTCGGTTTGTGCTTTATGTATTACATGATCATTTGAAAGTATCTAATACTTTATAATAAAATGTCAACTTTAAATTTGATATATTTTAAACAATAATTTAATTAACACTCATTTAATAAAAACAATAAAAGAACAATTTGTACTAATATAAATTATAATAAAAAGGAAAAACTATCAACCAACTTATCAAACATTTTTAGAAAAAAAGGGAAACCATAACAATAAAAACTGAAATGAGTTACAAACAAATATCAAACATCAAACCCTCAAATTGATCATCTCTTACAAATCAATTAATATAAATCGTTATTTTAGTTCTAATCTTCCAAATAAAGTACCATATTAATGTTAGAATATGAAGCTGAGTAGTTGTAATTAACTATAATTAGTTAGTTGGTAGTTGATTAGTTAGTATTTGGTTTGTTAATTCAGCAACAGTAAGGTTGTATTTTGGGGCATAAAACCCACTGATGTCATGGGCTGGGAACCCAAGTATTGTTATATTCACGGATCAATACTCCTCTCTACCGCTTTTCCTCAACAAAACCCTAAGGGGTGTTTGGTTCAAGGACCACATTCCCATGTTTGGTTGGCCGAGAATCTCATTCCCGGTAATTTTTTATTACCAATAGTAGATTTTTTTGGGTATATTACCGAGAATGTCATTACCTCCCTTCCCTTAGGTATTGTAACATTACCGGCGTTTTGGACTAAAATGCCCTTAAATTTTTATTTTTTTTTCAAAAATATCCTTCTTCTATCATTGAATAATAAAAATTATATGAAGGTTAAATTACAAATTTATCCTTAAATTATTTTAGATTTACAAAAAAATTCTATAATTAAAATTTTATATGAAGTTCAGGGATTAAAAAAAATTACCCTTTCATTAAACCTTTTTTATATTTTTTATTTTGTAAAAATATTTTATATAAATATTATGAATTTAATTTTTTAAAGAAAATATATAAATATTTTACAATTTGTAATATTATACAAATATATAATAAGGACAATTTGGTTAAATATACATTCCAATAATCTTTTATTCTTTTAACCAAACACGGTAATCTTACATTCCTGCTAAACCAACCAAACACAAAATACAACATTCCCAGTAATCCTATTCCCTGATAATCTTTTATTCCCACTAGTAATCTTACATTCTGTGAACCAAACGCACCCAAAAGATTTGGACTTTGAACAAAGAACCGATCAAATATCATAATCGATTTTGATTTCTCAATCTTTTAACCCTGAATTGAACATATAAATATATAGTATATAGAAAGCAAAGAATATAAGTATTGAAGACATTAAATTTCGACTGTGGATATTATTTATATAATATATATTTCTTATTATATTATATTACATAATATACATATTCATTTATTTATTTATTTATAATACAGGCCCGATGTTATAAGCCCAGAAGCACGCCAAGCCTGGTACAATAAATTAGGGTTGTTTCAAACCCTAGCCAAGTTTCCAGTAGCGCCGCAAGCCTCGAAGAATCCACACGCTCCACGCCTCCCTCAGTCGCCGTTTTCATGCAATGATCCCACCATTCTCGGCATCCAACCGGCGTGCATGTATGGGACACCAACAACCAACGTAGTAGAGTTCGATTAGGACTCAAAATTAGGCTAAAAATAGGTTTTTTTCAGTATAAATAAACTTGTAATCAAACACAATGGAGAGGTTTTTTACACAGAGAGATTACTACGAGACAAACACACACGAGTTCACCATAGCGAACACAAAGAAAGTTCAATCACTTGTAGAGATTTTCGAAAAAGAAATAAAAGAGGTATATTTGTTTTTTTACCTTGCTTTCGGTTCATTCTTTGTCTTGCATGTGTGTCGTTCATACTCCTTCTTTGTTGGTTCGAAGCAAGAAGCCAATGACAGATAAGGTGGGGATTTTTCGAACCTTCGTTCGTAGATCTACTCTCCTCGAGGCTTGATCTAACAAAACTATGGATATTTTTGGAACAAGTATACGAAGGGCTTTCAAGAAAACAAAAACTTTTTATATTTTATCGCCGGCGAGCGACGATCGGCGCTGGCAACGGCGGCCAGAATCTGGGACGAGCGGCGCCGTTCATGTGTTCTTCAAGAACACAAGAACATTGGAGAGAAAAAGGAGAGGGGAGATGGTGCTTCGGTGAGAAAAGAAGAGAGAAATGAAAATTAAAATGTGTTTTTAACTTTTATACTAAGCCCATACACGACCCTAAAACCCGTATGTTGACCCATTTTTACACCCTTGACCCGTACATTTCTGAACCAGGGAGGGTTAATCGCATATTTGGTCCTCATAGATTTAAAAAGCCTTGATTTGGTCCATTTAACCCAAAATATTTCCGAATTTCTCTTAAATTGGCCCAAAGTTTCGCCTTTCTTCCAAATTAACCCCTATTTTTTTGTTACATATACATATTGTAATATTTCATTTATATACCTATTATTAATATATATATATATTAATTATTTTTTTCATTTACGTACTATAGCTTATAATATATATATATATATATATATATATATATATATATATATATATATATATATATATATATATATATTTCTATTTGTTCTATTTATTTTATTATTTTTGGTTTTTTATTACTATTATAATATCTTATAATTTTATATATATATTTTCTTTTTTTCGGTTTTTATTACAATTATATTATATTTTTTTATTTTCTTTTTACTCTTGTCTTTATTATCATTTATATTATTATATATTATTATTATTACTATTATTATTATTATTGTATATATCTAACATAACCTTTGAAATATCATTACCTAGGTCCCCTTTGTCCTCATCTATGCAAATTTTCTTCTCTACTTTCGATGAGGGGAGAGTTGTTTAAATATTATTATTATATATATTATTTTATTTTATTAATACTTGATGTGGGTTTTTTTTTCCTTTTTAAACATTGTTATGTATATATTATTTATTTACTATTATTCTTTCTTTATCTTATGTATTTTATTTATTCATTACTCTTCTCTTTATTTTGTTTTATTTTTTTTATTTTCGTTTATTTATTCATGGTTATTTGTTTATTCATTTATTCATTTATTTATTCTTTTTTTTACTCTATTTTCTTTATATCGTTTTCTTTTCTTCATTTTCTCTTTATTTTATTCTATTTTATCTGTTTTCTTTACCTTTTTTTCTCTAACACATTCTCGACTTTTAAAGGGTACACTTTTCAAATCAATCGGAGGTAAGTAATTTGGATCACAGTTTTACCTTTCAATTTAAACTTTCAATTTTCTTAATTAAAGACAACTAGAAATTACGTAGTATCGAAAGGGCAGTTCAAGGGTGCTAACCCTTCTTTGACTGTAACCGACTCCCAAATCCGACATATCACTGGAAAGATCCAAATCAAGTAAGAAATCATGTATCCAGTCAACCTATTTATTTTTAAATAAATGATCGGTGACGACTCCAATCCACATTTTTCAAGTCGAATCCCAATTCCGGGACTCAACAGAAAAACGGTTCAGACAAGTATCATAATAAAATATGAAATTGTAATTCATATCCACCTATTAAGTTTCTCATGCATTTATTCTAATAAAATGGAGCAGATTGACTGGGATCTCATCTCAGTAATGAACTACGGTGACATTAAACTCAAGAATGACATTGGTGGCGTTTATCAAGTAAGGGTTGATTATTGCAAACCCTCTCGCCATTCTGAATTCTCCTGTTCCTCCGACCACCGACATCTCACGTTCCGTCATGGTGAGCTGATTCCTCGAAAACATGCTTAAAGAGCTGCCGTTAAACTCACCCCCAGTAAACCCGAAATCGAAGTACGTCACTGCGACCGTTGAATTTACGCCGGCAATGACGGCGAGTCCCTGAGCATTTCCAATAACCTCCGAGCTAGGCTCAGGGCCTGTCCGGAGAGGATCATCGACGGCAGATAAGGTGCGGGACGGCACTGTCGAGTTGTTTGTTGTGATGTTAGCTTGGGCTATCACGACCGCCGTAGGGTTCTGACCGTCGAGGGATTCGTGCAAAAAGAAGTGGAGATCAGTGACCTTCTCCGCCTTGGGATCATATGGTCGGCTCTTCGAGTTGTATTGGCTCTGCACGGCTACCAGGGAGAGGCAGACAATGAGAAACCAAGTTGATACCGACGTTCGTTTCATTTTCTCTGATATGATAATTGCTAGGGTGGAATTGTAGATGAAAGCTTTACACGTTTATATAATTTATTGCCCAGAACATATTTTACTTGGTGTTGATTTTTCCCTTGTAATATTCAAATCGAAAGCAATCTTGATCACGCTAGACAAACATTGTCAAATTTGCTGTCCGAAACAATGGAATTCACCAAGTACGTTTAAAATTGTGCCAACTCTTTTTCAAATCTGATTTTTGTTGCTCACGTCCTTTTTACACCAACAATAAATGTGCTACAACATTTTTTACTAATTAACAAAAAGAATAATACAAACAACTCATTTATTTTAAACAACTCATTTTTTACACGTCCTTTTTGTGTGATTTCCCTTGTAACAGTTGCATACCCATTTTCTTTATAAAAAATTATCAACACTTAATATATTATATCAAGACTTAAAAATCTGCACTCTTTTTTTTTACTTTTTTGTACTTTTTTTTTAAAAAAATTGTGCTCAAATGACGTGAGTAGGAAGCTAATATCAAGCTTCAACCTTCTATTCTATATTTTTAAATTAAAAAAATTATTGATTAAAATAATATATATCATTTTTATATTTTACAACCATTCATTTTACCTATTTTAGTCTTTCACTCTTAAACTAAAGCTTCTGTTTTGTTTTTTTAGTTCAAACCCACACAGGCCCCAGCTCCAGCTGCTACTCAACTGTCAGTCCCTTGTTTGAGTCTTGATATATAACGCTGCATATTTATCCAATGCATAATCCATTCACTTCAGAATGAAATGTGTCGATTTAATTAATCGGTCACTATTACCCAAATGAAATCATTTTTATTTGATGTCAAAGGTAGTCCAATAACAAAATCCGTAGTGACTCTTTACCACTTCCACTATGGAATAGAAATCAGTTGCAACAATTTCAAAAGCACTTGATGCTCAGCTTTTACTTGTTGACATGTCAAACATGTAACAACAAACTCAGTAATGTTTCTTTTTATACCCGGCCACCAAAATGACTCTTTACATCATGATACATTTTGTTCCCACTTGTATGCATAGTCAGTTGACAATAATGTTCCTGAGAAATAATATTTTTCTTCAACTCATCATCATGAGGAATACAAATTCTTCCTCGATAAAATAAACATTCATCAGACTTGACTTCAAAGTCTTTAGTCTCTCATTTTTCATAAGTGAAATATTTTATTAAGTATCTCTCATTTTTTTTCTTTTTTTTTCTTCTTTTTTTCTTTTTCTTTTTTTTCTTCTTTTTTTTTCTTCATTCCTTTTTTTTCTTCTTTTCCTTTTCCTTTTCCTTTTCTGTTTCTTTTTTCTTTTTCTATTTTTTTAGCTCTTATGCCATCTGTCGAGACAACATGACCAAGAAAAACAATTTCTAACAGCTAAAACTCACACTTTGACAGTTTGGCATATAACTTTTTACCCTTAAGTATCTCGAACACAATACGAGGATGAACATCATGTTCTATCTTTGTATTCAAGTATACCAGAATGTCATCAATACAAACCACCTCAAACTGATCTAAGTAAGGTTGAAATACACTATTCATTAAATCCATGAATGTTGCCAAAGCATTTTTTTAAACCAAACGGCGTTACTACAAACTCGTAGTGTTTATACCGTGTTCTGAAAACTATCTTTGGAACATCTTCCTTAAGATAATCAAACAAGTCATCAATCCTCGAAAAATGATACTTGTTCTTGATAGTTACTTTGTTTAACTATCGATAATCTATACAAGTCATCAATCCATTTTTTTCACAAACAATACTGATTCACCCCAAGGTAAAATATTTGGCCTAATGTATCCTCAATCTAGCAGTTCTTGCAATTGGTTCTTTATTCTCTTAACTCAATTGCAACCATTCGATATGAACCCATAGATACAAGATTATGCCTTGATAACCATTAATATTTGATAACCATTAATATTGAATCCCACCTCTCGATCTGGAGGTAACCCAAATAATAAATCTAAAAAGACATATGAAAAATCTCAAGTTATGGAAATATCATATGATCTTACTTCAGATACTTAAGTATATATCACTTTAGCTAGAAAAGCTATGTATCCTTTTTACATCATCTTAATCATAACCATTAGTGATGATTTCACTTTTTCATCAATCATTAAAATTTTTAATTTCTCTGTATTTTTCTAAATTAATCGCTTATTGCGACCATTAACCTAACCTTAATACAGAGACAACCAACTCATGATCAAAATGATCTAAAACTCATTAATGATAATCCTATAAGATTCACCGGTAACATAAACTCCTGAATCTTTATCGGACATTTACTATTTATCCTTCTAACCCTTGTATCATGACCCATAGGTCTTCCGCTATAATATCACTCAATATCAAGTAGAATTGAATATTTCTACTTTGGAATTCCTTATTTCATTCTTAAGGAAATATATATAACTTTTCTAGATCCAAAGAAAATATTCTCGAGCAGTTGAAACATTTTCCATCTCAAATTAAAGTCTCAATATTCACATCGTTCAATAAGAAAACTTGATAAATTTGTAGCAATAACTTCATAGCAGTTAATGCTAAAATCACACTATCAAGCAAATTTACTATTTTTCCTCTCACTACGAACCTGACACTTTTCAAGTTCTTGAGATTAAATCTCGATTTGTACAATAATTCATTGTAGCATGGAATGGTTAGACAATCCATTTCACTAATTTACCTTCGCAAGGTAACTCTATCAAGTTTTATGGACTTGATATCTATTCTCAATCCAACTCATAACCATTTGATTCACTATAATTCAACTTTCTTTAAACTTTTAGCGGACAACTTATTACCGCTTATTTATTTTCTCTTACTCAAATAAACAATGCTTTAAACAATTTAATGCTTAGCTTAAATATTTCTCACTTATTTAAGCTTACCTGGAGGAACCTCAGAATCATCACTAGATTAAGAAATCTCCTCTGGATCCTCATTCGATTCGAGTTTTCTTGTAATCCATTTAAACTTTTTAATGGAATCTTCCAATTCAGAAACTTTGTTGAAAGCTGGAGCATTTCTTCCACAAAATGGAGGAAAATCCCTTACAACTTCTACCCTTCTAAGGTGTTTTACATAAGTCATGTCGGGTCTCTTTGGGTCGATTTTAATCTCGACCTTCTTTTCAATATTTTCAAATTTCTTACCTTTGTCTTTAGTTCCAACATCTGAACATAGTCAGAATCATCATACATTAGTAAAGAGTAACTTTACTCCCTATAAGCATCATCATAATATATATACAACTATCAGTAACTTTTGACATCCTAGTGGCATGTATACACTTTTTAACTCAAAATAAACTTGATTTAGTCCTAGAATCGGCTAAACATGTAGCTCTGATGCCAATAAATGTAACACCCATAACCCGTATAAGTATACCTATACAGATTATAGATGTCACCTGAATTTCTAAAACCATTTCCAATTTAAAAGTAATTTAAAATATATTTTCTTAAAATGGTAAATGATATTATAAAATATCATATCATATGAATTTTATTTCATTATAACAAATTTAAGGCAAAAGATTTTTTTATGAATAGTACCGTGAACAGTAATGAACAATACTGTGAACAGTGAACAGTCTACCGATGCACTGCTACAGTACCGTGAACAGTGTACCAATGCATAAAAACATCGAACTTAAAATGTGTATCGATGCACTACTACAGTGTACCGATGCACTGCTACAGTAATTTCAACAAATTATATAAAACTCATAAAAATTAACCTTTCATCACTATAAAGTTATCATTTTGTTTCCAAATTAGTTCAACAAAATAAATTGAACATTAATAAGTACATGCCACTAACAAAGTCAAAATTCCATCATAAGATGTTTTACTGATATTATAGTGTATTCATGGATGCTCGGAGTGCCTTGTACTCTTTACTCTATTCTTTGCTTTTTACCTACGCATGAAAATCATCACACGCTAAGTATATACTTAGTGAGGCAATTTAAAACAATAAACAGTTCAATACATCTCATGCATGAATTTCAATGTCAAAAACAACTGTCATAAGATCATGTTACATGCATGTCCAATATTTTAACATGATCAACATAATATAAAATTTCTTACCAATATATTTACCATTTATCCCATAAGCTCGTAAGCTTATTTTACCAATATACTTACCATTTATCCATAAGCTCGTAAACTTATTTTACCAATATACTTACCATTTATCCCATAAGCTCGTAAGCTTATTTTACCAGTATACTTGCCATTTATCCCATAAGCTCGTAAGCTTATTTTACAAATATACTTACCATTTATTTCATAATCTCGTAAGTTTATTTTACCAATATACTTACCATTTATTCCATAAGCTCGTAAGCTTATTTACCAATAAACTTACCATTTATTCCATAAGCTCGTAAGTTTATTTTACTAATAAACCATAGACAATAGCCTGTATAAAACCCTGAGGACCCTGGGTATTCGAGTAAAATACATGCACCGTAGTGCTAGACCTGCACCAAGCTTACGCCATATTTCTAATCCAGATATGACGTATAAGGTTGTGCCCACCACCTACACTAAACTTACGCTATAGTGTTAATCCGGACATGATACATAAGGTTGTATCCACCTTCCCGCACTTAATGCCCTTAAACACTATAGTGCTAATATAAACCTGCAGCTGCTATACTCTATAGCATGCCAACTATACCCTGTCTCTCAGCGACTTACTTGGGCATATAGTTTATTTTATTTGATCCATCAATAGTAAAGTATATTATCATAATTTAGCATTCGGCATTTCATACCCGAAATAACATTCATGGTAAAATATCACATTATTCATGATCAATGCATTATAATTTCACACTATGACATATCAATGTCATATCGAAGTTATAAAAATGACATAATATCATACTGATATAAACAATGTCGACTTATCGCAAGTCTTCCTGATGATGTATAAAACATATATGTACATGATGTATAAAACAT